CCCGGCCGGAGCTCATCCCCGTGTCCCCCCGTGTCCCCACGCAGGTCCGTGACCGGCAAGGCCGAGCCGGCCATGCCCGGCAGGCTGTACGTGCACCCCGATTCCCCGGCCACCGGCGCCCACTGGATGCGGCAGCTGGTGTCMTTCCAGAAGCTCAAACTCACCAACAACCACCTGGATCCCTTCGGACACGTAAGTACCGCGGCGCCACAAGGGCATCGCGCGTGTCCGGCACCCACGGGGGGTGTCCCCCACCCCAAACCCGGGGTTATTTTCTCCCCTGAGAGAGTTTGGATGAACCCCAATGAGGACACCCCCAAAAACAGAAGCATAAACCTTAAACCCGGGTTATTTCGTGGGAGTTGATTACAGATCCCCGCGGGTGGAGTTCGCGAGTGGGTGAAACTCTCCCGGCTTAATTRAGTATTTGGCTCGCTGATTTTAATCGCATGGGGAGTCCCGGATCGTTAAAATCCACCCGCTGCCTCCGGGAATTTGCCTAACAGGTAAAATCAATCAGGCATAATTAGCGRAGGAAATAGGAGCTAAAACCATGCGGATCCCTCGATCAGGGAAAGAAAAAAAAAGGAAAAAAAAAAAAAAAAAAAAAAAAAAAAAAAGGGGAAAGTAACATCAATTAAAGACAATTAGAAAAATTGAAGTCCCGCTAGAACTTCTAGGACATAAAAAAGTCTTTGCGAGACTCGCGGGGCCGTGAAAATTTGTGTGAATTCTGCAGCCAGGAACAGCCCTCCTTCGAAGGTCTCCAAAGATGCGAGTTCCTCTGAGCAAATATATGTGTACATGTATGAATAATATATATATATATATATCTATAAAAAAATATATATATAATTGAATAAGTATGTGAATCCAGATCCCGCCAGCCCTTTCCAACAGGGGATTTTTCTCCAGTCTCGTTTCAACACTTCAGTTTCATTTATTTTTTCCAAGTTGGTTCTTTTTTCCCCTTCGCTTTTTAATGATAAATTTTGTGCTGTTAAACTCTCACCCACGTGGTCGCCAAGAAGGGGTTTAGGGGAGAGCAGCCAGCAGAGCCACCAGCCCACCCCAAAGCTGAGCATCCCTTTAAAAGCGCTCCTTTGCACCTCCAGCTGAGGCGTTGATTTTCTTTTTCATTTTATAATCCTGATTTTATTTTAATTTTACCTCGAGCTGCTGGCAAAGGGGTTTGCAAAGAGGCGCTTTCCAGGGATCAGGATGTTCCCCACTCCACCCGCTGCGGGAAGAGGGAGGGAGCGGCGCAGCCAGGGGGACCCATCCACTCCCGGGGGTGCTTTTGGGGAGAAAAGGGGGGGATCCGGCCCGGGGGGACGGGGCCAGGCATCCCCGCTGGGAACAGGCGGCTCTGGGGAAAAAGTCCCTCTAAACAAACCAAAGACGCTGAGGGGACAATAAGGGACTTCAGAGGAGGAGCTGCGCCAGGAGCCTCTCAATTAGAGTCGCGGTAATGAAATTAAAAACCATTAGATCGTTCACCGTTGATGTCTACGACTTTCCTGGATGTCAAAGCAATTTGCCTAAACCCYCGGGACGGGGGAGGCGGCGGCGGGACGCGCTGCGTCTCGCTGTCGCCAGGGTCCGGCAGTCATTATCGGCACGGAGCGGCCCCCCGCCGCCGCCGCCGCCCCCCATCTTCCCCCGAGATTAACCCGGTACCGAGCAGCGCCCGCGTTTTATCTGGAGCGCAGCGCGTCATCCCTGCCGGCTCCGCCACCCTCCCGTCCTCCCCATCCTCGCGGGGGGGATGTTCCTAAATCCCTAAATCCCTCCAGCTCTCCTCACTCACTCTTTAACCCCCCGGGATGGGGGGAATTGTGATGCCGGCGCCCTAAACTTCCCCCCAACAGGTTTTAGGGGAGCGGCTCCATCCTCCCGGTGGTTTGTGGGGGAGGATCAGGGMTGGGGTGGGGGTCACAGGTAAGGAGCCACCTTTCACAGCATCTCCCGGCCCTGATGGGCTCCTGGTGGGGGTTTCTGGAGAGCTGCCCTTGTGAGGGAGGGAGTTCTGAAGGGGGCCAGGGTTTTGGGGAAGGGGATGGGAGCTCCTGCGGGTCCCTGTCRTGCTGCGCCCCCTCCATTCCCACGGGATGTCCTCTCCTTCTCCCCGTGCCCAGATCATCCTGAACTCCATGCACAAATATCAGCCCCGGCTTCACATCGTCAAAGCGGACGAGAACAACGGCTTCGGCTCCAAGAACACGGCCTTCTGCACCCACGTCTTCCCCGAGACCGCCTTCATCGCCGTCACCTCCTACCAAAACCACAAGGTGAGGGGCTGGGCCGGCCCCCGCCCCGGCAAACCGCATCCCGCTCCTTCCCTCTCCCCGCTGTGATGGG